TCATTCGTTACTGGAAAGCTTTCGACCTATTTTAAGGTCATCATCAGGGCAAAACAATATTAAATATATTCACTAGTTTCGTGGTCCGCTTGACCAATTAATATCTTACAATTAATAAAGGTATTCAGTTGAGATAAAAAAGTCAATGGCACGAGTGGGATTCGAACCCACGATCTTCGGCTTGATTCACCGCTGCTCTATCACTTGAGCTATCGTGACCTCGATCCACTCGGACACCAACCTCCCATCTCAACCGCAGGAGGGAAAATTCAAAAGGTGCGGTTCAGATGGGAGGTTGGTGTCCGAGTGGATCGAGGTCACAATAGCTCAAGTGGTAGAGCAGCGGCGTATCAAGACGAAGATCGTGGGTTCGAATCCCGCTCGTGCCATTGACTTTTTTATTTCAACTGAAAACCTTAATTAATTGTAAAATATTAAATATATTTACACTTTGAAATAATTAAGTTTAGAATTGTACTTGGAATACCTACTCGGTACCAGAATGGCTATTAACACAATTGAACCATTGTTTTATTTCATCCTTTGTTACTTGCCTTATCACATCTTAAACATGTTGTTTTTCTTGAAGTTCTTTTCAATAATTGATTGTACAAATATATTTAATTTATTGATGATGAAATTTTTTCGCGTTGTAATTCAGTCATTAGGTATTCCATTTAGTGCTGCTCTGTTATGAGAATGCTTTACTAACAATTATCACACACTTGATTTCAATCAAAACCAGCTCTACATTATACATTCCTGTTGTGAATTGCATTTCATGGTTTAAACATACGAAGTCAGCACAAAAGGTCTTCACCCAAAAAGTCTTTATATTTTTCCTATAATTCATATGGATTTGATAATGAACATGTTTAATTACAAATAAAGCGCGAATGGATGAGCAGAAATTGACGCATCAATGTTGTGCATCGTTTTCCAATAAATTCATTTTTTTCAGTGCTTCAGTATATTGCACACAAACTGTTCTTGACTTCTGGAATGTTGTTGGACCATGAACGTTCATCGCTAATACATAAATAAACTTAGATTACTCAGAGACCTTTTATTCAATTCTGATGGTCAGGCGTAGGGCGGTGATTGTCAGGCCAAAAGGGCGGTTATGCGTTCTCCCGCTTTCACCACTGCTGCCTCAACTAAATATACTAACACCAGTGAAATGTTATCTTTACATCAGAGAACCAATTCTGTAGTTTATGTGGATAAAGAGGCTCAGCGCAGGTATTGCGTCCTCCGAATGTGAATTCGAAAAACGAGGGAGGCGTGTAATGTACTCAGTCGAAAGGTCGCTGACAATCTATAAAAAACATGGAAAATTTTCCTTATATATATACATATATATATATATATATATAAAATTCTGACGTCCCTTATTTTTACTTAATATAATATAATATACTTAATAAGAACAGAGTGTGAAATTTTCAGCGAAACTCGTTCCGTAGTTTTGACGTCTATTGTTTTCAGACATACAAACATTCGCAAATTAGAGAGATTGTAGTATATTAAAAATTCACTAGATTATTATTTTTTATATTTTTTACGAGGGTTCGCAACTGCAGAGGTCATATCAACCCTCAGGGTGCCGGTGTTTTTGAAAAAAAGTCCATTTGTAAGTATGTCCAGGGCCGCTGGATTCGAACCCCGGACCTTCGCCTTGCAGTGATGAGCGCCGTGTCAACGCCTAAACCGTTGTGGCCACTAACGCCCTCTCATTATTATTTATTGAATGTAAATAATCATTTTTAAATGCGGTCAATTTATTTTAAACAGTACTGTAAATTTATATATTAGTAGTGTTTATTATGCGGTTCAGATTATTATATGGAGAAGAACAAGAAAACCAGTTTTGTGAGTGTTATCAATTTATATTGTCGGTCCGCTTATCCTGCGCTCATCCATCATTACGATAATGAATTCAGGGAAAGGCTGTATTTTTAATATAACTGTTCGCGCACTTACCTTTCCTTACCTTATCATCTTCGTCACTGTTCTGTTGCATGGTCTTCAAGAAAATGTCTTTTATGCAGGGTTCCAATCTACGTAGACGGTTGAAAAAAAGACTAAATGCTGGGTTTACCAAGCTTTCGGCACTTTATATTCGGCCAGGCCTTTCCCAATGATGAAGAAACGATCAATATGTAAAAACTATTGTACAAGTGTTTTGAGTTTAAGGCTATGGAGCACATGGCCAGTATAATATATTTTGACGGTGAAACAGACATCTTGCTAAAAATCCATATAACTAAAGGTCCAATGTTTTTTGGTTCTGACTAGCAATTTCTTTCAGGTACTTTTGTGATCACAGAGAGTATTATAAAAATTGCTTATACATATAAAACTAAATTACAGCTTTTTACAAAAACTATGTACAAAGGATTAAAAATTAGAGAGAGAGAGAGAGGGTGAGAAAGCGACGATTGGATGCTATGATTGATCCATAGCCTTAAACCCAAAACACTTGTACAATAGTTTAATAGTTTTTTCATATTAATCGTTTTTTCATCATTGGGAAAGCCCTGATGATGGCAATATAAAGTGCCGAAAGCTCGGTGAACCCAGCATTTAGTCTTTTTTCACCCGTCTAATGACCTCTATGAAGATTCGAACCCTACGTAGATTATCTGCAGGTCGATCAACGAACATCATATCTCTATTCTACGAAAATGCCTTTTGTTAATGTGGGCCGTTTCTGTTATTGCTATTAACGTAGATTCATGTCAGTTTTATGTCATTCCACAAAAATTTTTTCTTACAATCATTAATAAAGGCTTTTTAATTTACTATTGTGACAATGAAAACGAATGGATGTACGCTAATTCCTTTATCAGTTTTATAACTTGCTGTCCAATTTGAATGGGATATTATGGTTTTAGTGAAAAAGTTTTATTGAGAGATTTTATTTCTCGTTATTTTGTTAAAATTTCTTAAAGAAGATTTGAAAGATCTTCAAAATCAATTGTAAAGGAACTAAAGTGCTGGATGAAAATCCTCATCAAACCATCCAAGAATTGGCGGCAGACATTGAAATTAGCAGAACGACGTTTTCGGAAAAATATGAGTGAGTTTTGGACATATTGGACATCGGCATTTCTTGGGCATATAACCACGTATGAACCTGGATCACCTTAGACAATGGAGTCAGGGATTGGATGCCATCCGTCGCCTGATGAAAAGTTAATCATGCTGAATCATGAACGTATTTATCCATTCGTAATAAAGACTGACAGTGAAAAGGATCACAAGTCAATATAAAATGAAGAGTCATTTCTTTTGGAATGTTGGGTAGAAGTAGAGATTATAATATGGGTTGTAAAAAATTTCTTTTTCAAATTTACATGGGTTCTTTGTGATTTCTACCCTAGATCTATTATAGAAAAAACCCTATATTGAACGAATATTATTTAGGACATATTTGCGAAGATATTCTAAAATATAAGGCTACAAAATGAAAACAGAATAAAATACACGAATCTTGGTGAACACCCAGGGCTAAAAGACGTATTTATCACCGGCTTTCAGTTTTGAAATTCCAAACGGACCACGAAACGAGCAGGGTGAAATATATTTCTGGTATCTGGTGAGGAAGTAGAACCTGCTGAGCACGTCTTGAGCTCGTGTGAAACTGAAATAAATGAATGGAAAAGCCAACCCCTTTTACCGAGAGACGGTTCCTCTTCTGTACAATGGTTAGATTTGTAAAACCTATGTCACTGTATAAGGAAACTTTTTAGCAGGGTCAGATCACAATAGATCTTTTTTGCCGGAGGGATGGGGCGACACAGCGCCTAATCGAACACACCCACACTCTCTCTCTTTCCACTCCAAAAAATCCAATTACGTGACACGCCTCATACGCAATCATAACGAAACCGTACCAATTTTTGAAACGACACCTTGCCACGCGGAAATACGTTTGCGAATTATTCACAACCCGAGGAAAAATCGAGAAACGGAAATACATGGAATAAAAATAAAATAGTTGAGTAAAGATTGAACTTCGTAACGCGTTTATTTTGATTTCAGCCAATTTCTCGTCTCTCGCAAAATAAATTGTTTTGATAAAGTAAAATTTCGTATTTTTAGAAACGAGGCTTTATTAATCCGCCCGACATGAAGTTCAAACTTTACAGCTTTGCCAGTCGGAAAGAGGTCTAAGTGCAAAACTGAGGTCCAACAAAACGCAAAGTACAGTTTCACCCGAATCGATATTGGCGAACCGCTGGTTGACCCATTTCTCCTTACGGTACCCAGGATTGTTGTTGTTGACCTTAACAAGGATGGCGATCGTATCCTGTCTTTCTCACTGATAATGCTTGCCAAATTCGTTTTCAGTTTTCGCCATTCAGCGTTCTGAAGATTCGATGATCAACTTTGCCTGACCTTTCTGAGATAGAGCTTACTGTTGCGTGATAAGCCGAACGGCTTATCGAGTGTTTGCGAATTGTTTTGATAACTTTCTTATTGTTTTCAGCCTCACCTTCTTAATGATCGATATTGCTTCGTGCGAATACAGGGATACGATCGACGGCTCTCAAATGCACGATAAAATCCCTGCGTTGAGGCGGTCCAAATTTGCTAAAATATACGGAATAAAAGCAAATGACAAAACGAATGGGAGTTTGAAGTGTGCGAACTGGAGACAGTATTTCATTTTATCCTTTCCTGTCACACAACCCCCTACCTTGTTCACCACTGAGAAACAGGGGGCTGTGATTAATATCTGTCAAGTGTGAATGATCGCCACGGCGTTTTGAAAAAAAGATCACTCGAAAAATCTAAAACAGTGCTGTTGGAATTTGCGAATCGGAAGACAAAGTTCGAAATCGCTGAAAATCAAGGGTTCACCTATACAGGGAATCGTTCAGAAAAAAAGTTCAATATTACCATACAAAGGTTCATCTCCTCGAGGTTGGATGATTAACTTCTCTAGTCTAAAATAATTCTGAGGTAATTATTTGAATAAATGTATTTGTAGACTTTTTCAACGACATAGCTATAATTATTATTTACAACATTTCGATTATTATAACTAACATTCACCACAGCTTAAACATATACATCTTAATCATTCGTCAATGCAGAAAAACATTGTTTTCTTGTCGTTTCCATATCGGTTTTGCACATTTAACGTACATCACATAATAAAGATAGCTAAGTTTATTTTTCTGTATGTCCTTTTTCTAGTTTTATTATTTTTTTAAAGTTGTTATAGAAGAGAAAAATCTTTTGTACAGTACAATATTATATTGTGCGTAAAGATATAGAAACCAAAGAGGGTACATTTTCTGCTACTCATTCCTGCTTGGTCAGTGTGGAATGGGCGTGTACAAGGGGCTCAATTTGTGCAGCCACCACATAATTTATTCTATGTGACCAAGAGCAAATGAATTTATGTTTTTTATTAAGAGTTATTTCACTACAAATACGGTTGTATTCTTCATCTTGACATTTTATGGAGAATGCACTTTAGGTTCGTTTAAAACATGAACGTTATTTACATTAAATAGGTTTTGGTGTAAATGATTCGGAAAATATTAATTATATTGCAGGATACGACTTCAAACAAAAATCTACAGAACTCATCAAATCAGTAGTATATTTTTATAGTTATGAAGAATAGAGCAAAAACACAACAAATTAACCCATTCTCCGACCAAATAATCTTTAATTAGTTGAGCGCAGGTTTCATTTTTTATTTTTTTATTTTTGAGATGTAATATTGTCATCAATCACATTTTCGGCTTATAGGGATTGCTACGTTGTTTTGACACTGCTAGTGCACTTTAATTTAACTGACAAAAGAATTATTTCACATCAGCTACATTCAAATAAAAAATATATGGATTTTACTTTGTAATTATTATACATTATTGTACTTTTTGTCAAGAGACTAAGTTTTGACTCTGGGCCTAACACATCTGAAGCGTCCGTTGGTAAGCGTTTCCGTTGACAGTTGTGGTCCAAAGTTATTTCAATGATATCCAGTAGCAATTGTTTCGTCCTGGAAATACAAAAAAAACTAATGATCAAATTGCATTTCACATGTTTCACATATAAGAAATCAAAAATAGATATAAGTGTCAACCAAATTGTTGCTTGTCAATTACAGAGTTTCGATAATTTATGAATTCTGTCGGTAATAAAAGTTCTGTGGAATGTGTGGGAAGAAAGTATACAATGCCAACAACAAAATATAATAGTTATCTACAATTTATATTGTTTTTATTATTTGCAATTTACACCATTGTGAACTTTTACAGCAAAAGTCTGTTAATGAAGATTTGCCTTTTTTTCAGTATACTGTAAACATTTTGTAATAATAATAAAGGGGGTGGCGGTGTCCGGAACGGATAAGGCATTGACTGGCGCCTATCACTCCGTCCCGGGTTCGAATCCAGCGTCCCTGCATTCGAACTTTCAAAAACACAAGCACACCGAGGGCTGATAAGAAGACTCCTGTTGCGAACCAACATAAAAAATTGCATTTTTTTTTTGGGGGGGGGGGAACGTGAGTTTTTGTATGTATAGATTTGGTATTTAGTTAATTTTATTATTTGTTTATATAAAAATCTTGGTAAAGTATAAAATACTTTATTATAGTTACTTGTGAGTGGGTAAGGGGAAAACTTTTTGCGACAGAATTTGATTCTCCGGCTTTTTGCTTGAAATCACAATATTTATTTATGAATTGAATTTTGATTAAATTAAATGCAAGATAATTTTATTACACAATCTATGTTTTTTAATGATTATTTGGAGATCGTGAGATGCGGTCTGGTGTGACGTATGTTTTTGAAAAACATTGTCGTTATCGTGCCAACGTTTCGATCTTTATTGAGATCATCTTCAGGGCCTGCGATTTATAAACATAGTTTAAATTAGACACATACATGTAGGATGTGAAAAAAATATAATTCATACAATGCTAGAAAATTTTCAATTCAATCAAAGTATTTGTACTCACTCAAAGTGTTTGTTTTCTGTGTAATTGTGTCATTCTTGTGTGTCGTGTTGAGAGTGCCAGTGAGATATTGCTGTTTTATGTTTATATCCGTTGGATTTTGAAGCGGTGTGGAGGGAAGTCGGGAATAGAAAGATATTTTTATATGAGGAGTCGGCTCCTTTGAGGTGAAAAGAGCCTACAATGGGAAAAATGGGTAATGGTTCGGCCTGATTATCCTTTCAGGATTGTATAGACGGGGATAATTAGGAAAGGAAAGCCAAATTGTTGAAGAATTAGACAATATAGAAATCTTTGATGTGTGGAATGCGATGAGTGTTTTATATGTTATATTATATGTTTTGTGTGATGTGATGATGGTTTTTTCCACATCCTACATGTATTTGTAAAATGTAAACAATGTTTATAAATCCCAGGCACTGAAGATGATCTCAATAAAAATCGAAACGTTGGCACGATAAAAAAAAAGTTTTTCTAAAACCTACGTCACACCAGACCGCATCTCACGCTCTCCAAATAATCATTGAATAATGGTCACTAAACACCACACGTTTCGATCTTTAACATTACTTAAACCAAATTAAAAATTCTTATACCTTTTAACATATGATTATGTGGAGATCGTGAGATGCGGTCTGGTGAGACGTAGGTTTAAGAAAAACATTTTCTTTATCCTGCCAACGTTTCGATCTTTATTGAGATCATCTTCCGTACGTTGAAGGTCTCTAAGCATTTGCCTCTTCAGCCAACGTCGAAGGGGTTTAGATGTATGGATAGGGTATTGTAGAATTAATGATAATCTGTTCTCTTATGGCCGTGAACGAATGGAATTGGAGATCAGTGAAGTGTGGAGATTTATTGAAGACGTTGAACAGAACATTAAGCATTCCTTACCCTTCGTATGACCCTACCGGACGACTGAGTGTTTTGTAGAGGGTAAATTTGTGGTCAAGGTTTTGGTGGGACCAGTGGTCGAGTTCAGCTGTTCATGTCTTGTCAAGCGAGTGTGTGGATTCCACGTCAATCTTTTATCGATGTACAGTCCAGGGCATCATACTATGACAGCAGTCGCACACTTAGTGGGAATGAGACTTGAACACATCTCTTTCATTCACTTTGATTCTCCTTTAATGGTACCATTCTTCTAATAGGGTAAGATGACTTTGCATATAGACAGAAAAAGAAAGGACAGCCGTGTGGTTCGGCAAAAGTGGACATGACTGTGTAACACTGTGGCGAAGTAGAAAGCGGGTCATCTTATATTGTTAAAAAGATCAAGCCAGGGATACTTCCTTGCGGGACACACAAGGAAATGGATTTTCTCTGACAAACTGGGTACTGGGAATAATCTTCATTAGTTTCTACAGTTACCCCGGGTGCACTCTGCTGTCGAGGGCCTGGGCTACGTCTAGGAAGTCATTCGTGCAGTATTGTTTTTACTCAAGATAAGCAGCAATAGTGTCCAGCTGTTCTTTCTGCACAATGGAGTGAAGTGTGCGGAATCAAATTGATGGGTCGATATGGTAAATAATAAGAATAAAATAAGTAAAACACGATTTGCTAAAAGTAAAAAGACAAAACAAAATGTAAACATAAAAAAAATGAATAGCCAACGTTCAATGCTTATATAATTGTTTAGTACTGTACCATCAATTATTTATAAATTATTGGCTGATTGATTGAATTATATACCCTCGATTCTGCACATATATTGCACACATGTCGAACCTATAACTTCTCGAGACCTTGATTATGACATGTTTTTTCACAATTGCAATAGGGTTTTTTTGTGCTGCTTCTTCCATTTCAAGATAATGCCAAGATGGCCCTATCAGGGTGTCTAGACCTGCAGCTTTTGTCCGGTGGATAAACGAATCTCTTTTACTTGTTTACTTCTTTACCACCGGCAAACTTTCCTACCAAGAACTGCTATTACCACCAGTGTTCTGCTGCATTGCTAGAAATGTTTGCGATTAGATTTGAACTGAGTTTGTAATTGTTTGTTGTTTAACAATTTTGTAAACCAACAAGCGCGAGTTAGATCGAGAAAATTGTATGCAAAAGAAATAAATTTGACAATTTAAGGCTGCTAAGATTGAAATATTCATAAATAAGAAGCAACTAAAAGTTGAATTCTTTAATTTACATTTATTTAGAAATAGTGAGATGCGGTCTGGTGTGATGTAGGTTTCAGAAAAACATTTTCTTTATCGTGCCAACGTTTCGATCTTTATTGAGATCATCTTCATCAAAGTGTTTGTCTTCTGTGTAATTGTGCCATTCTTGCGTGTCGTGTCGAGAGTGCCAGTGAGATTTTGCTATTTTGTGTTTATATACGTTGGATTTTGAAGGGGTGGGGAAGGATGTCGGTATAGAAAAGACATTTTTGTATAAGGCGTCGGCTTCTTTGAGGTGAAAAGAGCCGACGAAGGGAAAAAATGTGTTGGTAATGGTTCGGCCAGATTATCCTTTCAGGATTATATAGAAAGGGATAAATAGGAAAAGGAAAGCTAAATTGTTGGGAAATTAGACTATGTGAAAAATATTTGATGTGTGGAATGTAATGTGATGATATAGGTATGTTATCTGTATTGAATTTGATAAATAATATTGGCGTAGCTGCGACTGAGTTTACATGTATCTGTTCTGTAATTGATGATGTGTTTATCTCTGTTGATATAAACCAGTTCTAAGAAATTACGTTTATGTTTGTTTTGTTCTGTGCGTAATACTTTTGGATTTTTGAAGTCAAAATTGTGTTCGTATTCAAAGTGGTGGGTAGAGAGTGGTGTGTAGGATTTTGCTTAGGTTTTTTGCAAACATAGATATGTTGCTTTACTCTCCTGTCCAGATATTGGGATGTAAGACCGATGTAAGTTGCCGGACAGTTTAAACAGTTGATCTTGTAGATTACGTCAGATTTATTTGTTATTGGTGTGGGATCTTTACTTTTGGAAAAAAATGTTTGAATTGTTTTATAATTTTTGAAAGCTATTTTGAAGTTATCGGACAAGAGAAATGTGTTTAATTTACACTTCCTTTATTATAACTTTAAACTTCATGAACATTTATTTACCAATTTCATTGCAAAATGTTATTTCATGAACATTACCAGTTTCATTGTAAAACGTATTTTTAAACAATTTCCCATGGTGTTAAGTAAAATTCAATTTAGGTAAATGTAAATTTTGATAAAATGTTCATTTGTTAGTTTTGTGTATCTCGTTTACCTTTGTTAGATTTGCCGTCGTCGTTGATTTGTTTGACTTTTCTGATTTGATTGTTTATGATAAGAATATACAAAAGTTTCAAAGCCGCCTTTTGGTAGAAAATTAACTTTATAAATTAATTCATGGATAATCCTTAGACACGTTAATAGCGGTATTCGTCTTACATATAAGAATTATTAAAATTTTGTAGATTTCATTAAGACGCATCGCATTTTCTTGTCTCGGGTCGAGATTAGAACACATCCCTTTCCCCCTTATTCGCGAAAGTACTCAATCACCCAAACCACAGTGTTGATTAAGACACTGAAGGGTAAACCTCAGCTTTTATTAGGGCGTCGAAGGTAAACGCCTAACCTCAGTCTTTATTAAGGCAACGGAGGGTAAACGTTTAAGTAGTGCTTGCGTTACCAGACCAAAACAACACGTTTGCCCTTTGCTCGCCTGAGAAGATTTTCTCTTTTCAACCAACACAGACTTTGTTTGAGAAATCCCATTGAGAATCATGGCTCTAAGCCAAAGTTTCATTCGCTTTCTTATATTTTCTTTATTCGGGACGGCGTTTTTCTCACAACAAACGCTGCGGCGGGCCATTATAAAATTAAACAAAAACTAAGGTTGATGCGCCTCGAGAGAAAATGGGTCGACTGCTGCAGCTCGATACTTTTCCCCACTTCTTGGACAAGAGACTTCATTAGAAGATTGGATTGTAATTTGGTTTCGAAGGAGTGTTTTTAAACGTCCTTTGAGATTAACTGATAGAATAATTGAATTAAGTAAACATTTTTATGACAGATGAGTTTATGTGTGAGTTTGTTGCAAATAATTGCTCAGTGAAAACAATTACTATCACAGAAAGTTTTTTTTTTTTTTTTTCTTCGTTCGGAAAAGAACTACCTTGTCACATACCATATGACAACTTTTATATTTATAGTTTATTTCTCGCGATGAGGCTAACTAGAGCATACATGATATATTTATCCTACTCATGTTGTAACACATTTTATTAGCATGACGATGTTGTTTCTAATTAACGTCTTTATGAGGTCCACTTTCAGTTAGCGTTGCTCTAAAACTTAGTCTTTAGAGGGGTTAAGAGAAACCGTATGGCCAAAGCCGGATGTGAAAAATTTTTGCTCTTCTAATCCAAAGAATCATCGCCTGGTGGCATGGGACGGTTGCATAGACGCCTACACTTTTTTTGGGGTCCTTCTTGATGAATTGTACTCTGCCCGCTATGTAATTAACTCTGCCAATCTTTTTAAAAAATGGGCTACCATGATGACAGTGATAACAGTTATCATTTTAATTGTGGAACCACAGCATGCAGGCTTACGACGACGACGGGTGGTACAATGTGGTTAAGGCACGGTGCCCAAGAAAGGTGTACCTCGTGTCCTCATCCACGTCCCTCTCTCACTCCAGGTTCCTTCATTGTCTCCTGTGACCTCTCCCAACCCTTGCCTACAAGGGGGGTGTCCTGGCGTAAAATAATGGTGTAGCCCTGAGGGCTTGGCAACCTCTCTAAAGCACAAGCTGTACTCGTGTCGGCCTCGGGTCGGCATGAGGCGGCGGGTGCCTTATCACGCAGGTTTAGAGCACCAGATCCTGTCTGCATAGACGGGGGGTGCATAACCATCTGTACTACAGGGTAACAGAAATGTTCCAAGGTTCAGCCCCCTGTTATATTGGGAATGGACTCGTAGTTGGCCGTGGTGAGACCCCTGGGGGGTACTTAGAGAAGAGGCTGTCTTCTATCTGCTCCTTCGCATGAAACTTGCGCATGACTATCGTTATACACCCGACCTCACGGAATACGGCGGATCGGACGGCAGCGTAAAAGCGTTGAGGACGCTTTGATTATGCTGAAAAGTCCCTCGAATGCGTGAGTAGCGGCGGATGGAAATGGGTAGTGAATCGGTTGCTCCTACTCGAATATGCTTTGCACGTAAGTGTATGCTGAGCTCGATTGGAGGCCTTTACCGCAAGCCTTACCTCTTCTAGGGGGTGGTTAGCAATTCCACATTAAACAAAATCGCGGCCGGAGCGGATCCGGTAGTTTTTACGCTAAGGAAGCCCCACTACTCTACTACTCTGGGAGGTAGGCCTTCTCTACCTAGGGAGTGCGCGGGAGACCAGGCTGATGTATTTCGGCTTAGGTAGCCCTTGGCGCGCGGCATACGTTTCGGTGCTTAATGCGGACCCGTCCACTCGGAATGGGCAAGCGGGGAGCGAGGTTGTCTTGGCCCCTCGGGGCTGAGCTTCCTCTACACCAACGCTGCGGCAGTAACACCCTTCTGTCGTAAGCGGAGGTGCGTCAGCTCTCATCTTGAGAATCAAAAGGTCCGATAAGGCCGATAGGCTAGGTGCGGACGTTAAAGATCCTCATTGTCCTTTTTAGGACGACCGAGTATACGGGAAAGCACGCAGTCTCTTTGGCTAATAGATCGACTCATTGTATTTATTTCCGCAACGACCTTTCACCTATATCTTCCCTGGTTGCTAGTAGTGTCCTAATCTAGGAGCATTTGCCTACTAGTTAGGATTAAAGATTTGTCGTGTGCCATTCGATTTTAATCGCAATCAGCACGCTGAGACTATCTGAAGAAATGCATTTTCGTACTTTTATTCAGCTATATGGGTCAGCGAATCATAATGGTTGACCCTGGATTCTTTAAGTTTAGACGCCTTGGAGGATTATCAGGTAGGGTAAAAGAGATACTTGCAGAATACGAAGATTATTGTGAGTGTTAAGCAATTTATGGAAATGCTTAAAACAAACTTTGTACAAATAGTATCTGTAGTTCACTGATGATAATGCGATCGGACAAATTAAAAAACAATCCATACACAATTTTAATGAAAATTTTGGATAACTTTAAGGTTACTTTTACACCTTTCCTTGAGCCCCGTACTTCACAATTGTAAGTCCAGGAAGTCTTGCCGTTAGTTCATCCGACTGTTTTTCATGTTTGACCTGAATGATTAACTAAAGTAGAAAAATATCCTCTCTCGGTTTGGTGCCAGTTCCTCTGATCAACTGGCAGTTCATTCAGGCACTCCCGTCAGCTGAATTATAATTCGGCTATAGAGCATCGAAAAGAAAACTTTCTAAATTTGTGCAAGAGGTAATAGGAAACTTACATCACCAAATATGCTCCTTTCAACCATTTCTTGGTTCATGTTGTTCTCATTGTTGCATGCTTTTCACCTTAGCAATTTTTGAGGGATGAAAGAGCTACCAAATACTACTCCCTTACCACACACTTTATGCGCCAGTGTCACACCAACAACTTCGAGTTTGGCACACAACAAAGGAAAAAATCGAAGAAACTAGAGAAAACCTGACCGTGGTATACACTCAGTGCAGGTTATACATTTGATCTGGATTCAGATAAACTGAGCATGCATGGGATCCGTTAGTCGTTTATCTGTGGCAAGTCCAAAATGTCCAAATGGCCTGAGTTAATAACTTGGTTCCATTTATGTTCACTGAGAAAGGAGATAATGCTGGGTATGATCATTTTCCAGTTTGTAACTCATGCTTTAAGTACACCCGTAAATTACCTGGGTATGCCATGAAGCTTAACAATGCAATAATTCAAAAGTAGGGGTGACCCTGGTTGTGCTCTTCCGTCGGAGCCCTGCTGTCATCCGGTCTACGAACGTGTAATAATGACTATACAGCAGTAAAAGTACGTATTGAACTGTTAAAAAGTCGTGGAATATCTGCAGTGTATATTGTACAAAGAGATGGGCCAGATAGGCTTCCCTGAGGAACACCTGCCCTGATGCTCAAATAATTCAGTGAAACAGACTCAAGTTCAATATCAAGATAATTCTAACCAGGTCAGGTGCTACAGCTAAGAAGTATGAGATATTAGAGGTTATGTGTTGTATGTGAAATGTTCTTGAGATTCTTAATGAACAAAAGTTGAAAAATGGTAGTAATTTCTTAAAACGTCTCACCTTACAGAATGGTTTCATTCGTGCACGTCCTCGGACCATTTACGAGGGAGTATTTTGAGCTTCCTCCGTTGCGTCTCGTCACTTGGACAGCCCCTCTTATAAACAGTTCTTTAAAAGTTTCTCTAAACTGCCTGGACATGCCGCAGTAAATGGCAAAATTGATTGGGTAGCTCAGAATTATAAAGAAGTTTGTAAAAAGTACGAGAACGTTGGCCACAGAATAGTCTAAAATTTCCGTTATACTGCTCGATATAATATGAAGTACCTGAAACAAAAGACGGAAATCTTTTAAATGGTAAAAATAACAGTTTTACACTCTCTGTTTTATAAGCATCAGAGGAGGTAACGTGTCTCTATCGATCGAGTGTATAATTGCTCAATGACATAATACTATTAGGAGGAAATGATAGTACAAAATCGTTACTTACTGTAACAACTGCTAATGGAATTTCTGTCAGCAGGAAGACAGTGACGACTACAATGAGCATTAAAGTGGTACAGTTTGAGTCCCTTAGTCTTTTGCACTCACTTTTCCTATTTTCTTTGAACAACTTGTCCCTCTTGTGCTGCGCTTTCCTCAGCGCCCTGAACAGCAGCAGATTCAACACGACGAGAGATATACAAGGTACAGCGTGAACGAAGACGACTCGGAAGCAAAAGTAAAACGTGAAGTAAAAGTTCGGAGTCACCCAGTTTGTAACCCAGTCCGCCAAACTCAGCTGAAATAAATCCAAGAAATGTTAACGAAACAGGATACAAGTTGTACACAAAATAAATTTAAATGTGAATTTAGTTGTTGTAAAAACAATAATTATTATATGCATAATGTATTTTATTAAGGGATAGTGACGATGCCGTGTCCTCTTTAGCATATCTGTAGTATACCACATTTCCTCATACATTCTAATCTAATAATTATGGGAAAACATGCATACAATAAATGATCCCCAGCGTAAATTTTAACTTAAAAAATAAATTACAGGTTAACTAAACAACGATTTCACCACAGAATTAACAATCTTTTTGTTTATTTATCTTTTTACGTTAGAAAGAATAAATTATTATCAATATCACTCATTTTAAAGTAGTAACTAGTTTGCAACTATCTCTGATGTTTTTAAAAACAGTTTTTTCTAAATTTAAATATCTTCCTAGTATATTTCTAATTAAGAATACATCTGACATAGATTGATGACTGTTTTTATTTTCTATTCCTGAAGCGGAAACCGAGTTATTCTGACAAAATAAAATATTGGAAAGGGATCTAAAGGACTGTTTGAACAAACTTCCGTATCATCCGAACACAAAACAAACACAATAAAACACATTTACGTATAATAATTCTTGGATAATTTTTAAACATTTAGTTTCTCTCAATAACGTTGTATTCGTTATGAATTTGTGAAATGTACGGCAAAAATCGCTTTCCTTTGAAATATTGCTTCCATGTCAAATAAATATGTAAAATAACAACCCTCAAATATCCTTTATTGTTTACCTAAAACGTTTTACTTGGACCTCTGTAGACTATTATTAATTTTGTTTCTTTTTAACATGTTTTTTTAAAAAGAAATATTTCACGTGGTTAAAATGTCAATAAATATTTATTTCTGCTTTAACTGTATAACTCTGGGAAGAAAGAGAAATTTAATTTGTTCCCTCATTCAGACTTTAATTGCTACTGCTCTTAAAGAAACCATTTTAAATAGAATTCCAAAGTCGCAATTTTCTTTATTACGGTTTAAATCAAATTGATTTTTTAAACTAATTAATTGATTTATTTACTCCCGCACCAATTGCTGCGCTTAAGTAAATTTTGTAAGATTTTAGAAAACAAAACACATTTAAGGGAAAATATAAAAAATATACAAGGAAATTTTTTAAAAATATAGATAAATAAGAAAAACGAGGATCGTCTAATTAGTAGTTACTCGGACATATTAGCGTCAATCACTTTCACTGTTACTTAGCAGGTCGCGAGATCAATGACGCTTCAGCCGTCGGGAAAGATTACTTGGAAGGGTGCGGGATGAACGGTTTCTGTCATGGGTTTGTGCGATTGGATAATTGTTTGTGAAAATTGTTGTAGCTTTTTTCGCTACTTCAAAGATATATTTGACTATATTAAGGTAATGGTAAGATTGGATACATAAAAACGAAAAAAATTTGGATTGTAGGGATTGGATACGTTGGAGGTTGGAACATTTTGTTGAACCCCAACTCTTCCATGTGGTATTTCCCTACATATAGGCGTGAAAATAATAGTATGAGTCGTTTGTTTTCTAGAGTCCGTTTGGATTGTTTGTCCAGTAATCTGTTTAGTTTTTCTCTTTTGAGTCGTGTATGTGTTTTTAGTTTAGATAAAAAAGTCAGCATCACGAGCGGGATTCGAACCCACAACCTTCGGTTAGATACGCCGCTCCTCTACCACTCGATCCACTCGGACACTAACTTCCAATCTCAAACCCACCTTTTGAATTTTTCCCTCCTTTTTGCCATTTTTCAAATGTCGTCTAATCTATTTGATTCTCGGTGACAAATGAAATGGCCACGGAGAGCTTTAGTGAAGGTAGACATCATTTTAAACTTATTAAATTCACTAGTTTTCGTGGTCAGCTTGACCAATTAACATCTTTCTATTAATTAATTAACCTAACAATCTAATTAATTAATGTTTTTAGTTGTGATAAAAAAGTCAGTGTCATGAGCGCGATTCCAACCCACGATCTTCGGCTAGATACGCTGCTGCTCTACCACTTGACCTATCGTGACCTCGATCCACTCAGTACTGACTAACTTCCCATCTCAACCCCACCTTTTGAATTTTCCCTCCTTTTTGCCATTTTTCACGACAGCTCAGGTGGTAGAGCAGCGGCGTATCTAGCCGAAGATCGTGGGTTCGAATCCCTCTCGTGACACTGACTTTTTTATCTCAACAAAAAACCTTAATAAATTGCAAGATATTAATTGGTCAAGCACACCATGAAAATTAGTGAATGTGTTCTGTTAGGTGGATACTGTTGTGTTAAATGGAAGCAATAATCGGTTATTCTCCGAAGGTGAAAGAGACAAGTTCATATTTTTGTATGTTTATTCCAATCTTGAATTGCCCCATAGAAGTGAAATGGGTTTTTAGATTTCTGGTTGAGATAACAGAATCTTTATAAGAGAAAAAGATGCCGGTATCATCCACATAGGTAATGAGTATAGACCGGATTTTTATGCAGTAAAGATTGTCAAAATACGACAAAAATATGCAGAAATCCGGTTTAAACAGAAATATAGATAATTAAACGAAATAGATATTAAAACTCTTTACGACTAAAAATAATTAAATTAACAACTATTTAGAGGCTTTTTCCCCAACTACGAGATTATTTGAACCCTCGGGGTGACGGTTTTTTGAAAACAAAGCTCAGCTGGATTTGAACAGGGACCCTTTACTTTACATGGATGAGTGCCGTGTCAACGCCTATACCGTTGCGGCCACCGACGCCGCCTAGTTTATTTACATTTAACAAAAATATTTTCTCACTTACATCATTAAATTATATATTTTATACTAATTGAGTATAATTAATGTTAAGTAACTAAACTACTTTTCTAAAATATCTTCCGTGAAAGTGTGCCTACGGTGACATAAAATTTGAGATTATATTGTTTATAGAAATAAAACCTAAGACGGGGTTTTATATTCTTTTGTCGGTATTGTTAGAATCTTCTTTTCCCGTCGTTGCGGCCTGTTTCAGTTTTCTTGAAATCAAACTAACTTTTCGTCAACTTATTTTTTTTACAAATTTTGTTACCCTTTCCCCAAAAACGAATATAATATTTTAAATATTTTTCGCGATAAATGCAATTTTACGTTAAAATCCTTCAAATATGCAATTTTAAGCGATAGTTATCAAGTATGCAAAAATATGTTCTATAAAATTTAACCTACGGCTTCCTAGATACATGATTCGGATATATAATTGATTTCCTCGGACATATGTGATGGCAAACAAAATATGCAACTGCATAAAAATCCGGCCTCTAGACCAATAAGGATCGTTTCATGAAAAGTAGGAATGTCTGCGGTAGAGGATGGGTGCTAAGATACTTTCTTGTCGTATCCCTGCATCTGTGCGACAACCGACTTATGATGAGGAACCACTCATGACTTGAAAGTACTGTCGGATAGGTAGGATTTTAGATTTTAGTATCAAGTAGTAGGTAAAAGGGGGACTCTGTTAATATTGAGTAAAATTAACACTAGTTTAAAAACCTGGCATTATCAGCAGATAAATTGTACGAATTAAAAATATTTCAGATCAGTAGATAATAAAGTACAAAAGCCATTTTGAAATTCGAATCAGCAAAGGATCGTAAACTGATGTTTAAAATTAATTTTATTTATTTCAAACTTTTTATTTCATATTTAGATTAAATGTACAAAAGTTAACTAATTTCACTCTGAAATCAGGTTCAACTGTAAATTTTAACATGGACAGTTGCACTAATGTACGCAGTAGTTCACTACCCTCTTATTTTTCATATATTAATTTCCGCATCCAACCCTCATTGGATCGGAAAAGCTCGAAAAAATCTCATATCGAGCGGTATTCTTACTCGCTCTCTATATAGAGCCAAGGAGTTGCACCTTTCAAGGGGCACATCGAGCAACCTTTCTCTACATGCAGGAAACCTTCTCTCATTTTTTGATATGTTCTGTATTTTAATATATTTTTATTATTTGCTGTATATATTTACATTTACTTTATAAATGTAATTAAAATGAATATGATTTCTACTTTTTGCACCACTGGAAATATTGCTTTTTGAAAAAAAATGTTAAAAAGAAACAAATTTAATAATAGTCTACAAAGAAACCTAAGTCAAAAGGCTTAGGTAAGCAATAAAGGGTATTTGAGGGTTTTTAGTTTACATATTTACATATTTCTATTTTTTTAAAATATGGGTTAAGCAGTTATTAAATAATTGTAAAAAATTGTTAACTTTGGAGGGTAAACATGCAGTTTAATTTGTTATTATTATGTATTCAGTTTTTTTAATAAGCAAAAAATTTGTAACTTACTGGCCTGCCATTTAATGTTATACGACTAACACAAAATCAATTAAATTTGTTTCATGATTTATTGCATTTGTTTGAAAACGTCGAAATTCTGTGAAAATAATCATGTACAATAAACAGGCATTTCATTACATTAGCAAATTAAATTAAAAAACAGCAAAAAAGCAGTATTTGTTAATTAAATTTCATAAATGTATTATTACGGTGTATGTTAGTCCTGTCCAAAATGTCAGGCTGGCTGTAATCGCACAAAATCCCCGATTTTGGCCGGGGGCCGACACTACACAGTACAGCGCTCAACACATCCACGATTGGGCGCTGTTTTGCCCTACATTGAAGTCCGCCCGTGTATCCGTCATGAGTATTTGCTGTTTACCAAAAGCGAAATTGCGCTTTGTTCGGCAAGTCGGTTTGCGCTTTCATAAGCCTCGACGCTACCACGCCCAGTAAGCCATTATGCTTAACTTTGTACTTCGATCTCAGAACTTTAAGGCTATTAAGTCTCAGTTTATTGTAAAGCCATTCAAAGCGTTAAATGCCTCCTGGACGCCTGAGGAAATGTAATTATTGAAACCGCGAAAGCATAAATGTGTTGTAATCGACGAACGACAGGCTCATAGGAAATGGAAAAACAGTAATATTCGC